TGCATCAAAATACTGTTTTCCTTTGCTTGGCTTCCTCCCCAACAGCTTTGCATTAACATCCTTCTTTGCTTGGAAGTTATACGTAAACTCCATTGTGCCTGAGTAGTATAATTAAGAATGTTGCTGAGTTAACTTGTTGTTAACCCCTTAAAAGTAACTTTTCACCTCGTCCTGGAGGAGGAGTCTTGGCAGCAGCAGCTCTGCCTCACCCCTTTTCCTTGCGCAACGAAATAAAGGTAACTTTCCTGCTCTTCCACCTCGGTCTCTCGTTTACTGGCCAATTCACGTCACACCCACAGAGCCTGGGGTTTCCACCCAGTAATAAACTCAAAGGAAAAGTCCTCTAAGGCTTAGCTTCTTTCATAGTTAAGTAAAAATGAATGAAAATAAAGTAAGTATTCAAAACAAAAACTTATAAAAAGTAAATGAAAGAGAAATAACAGCTAGAAATTATTTTTAAAAAAAGCTAATAGATTATTTAAAAAAAGACAAGCTATCTTTAAAATAAACAAATCACTAAGTGGTCTAATAAAGAAGCAGAAAGAAAGCACATGTATCATTAAGCATGCAAAGGAAGTTAAAACCTTAGATACAGAAAAAAATGAATATATTATAAAAAGATAACTTGATAAGGCATTTGATTTTTTTGAAAATACATTTTAAATTGTGTATAACACAGATGATCCTCCAAGATAACAAATTTTCAAAACTGACTGAAGAAAATATAGATCCCCCTAGCAAACCATAAAGGAAATTGAGAAAGGTATCAAAGAACTCTCCTCAAAATGACTCTAAGTCTAGATAGATACAAACTAATGCAATCAAGCCTTCAAATAACAATTCCCAAAACCAAAGCCACTGCTCTCCCTAGAGTCCAGCTCATAGCGACCTCATAGGGTGTCCAAGGCTATAAGTCTCTACAGAAGCAGACTGCCACATCTTTCTCTCGACGAACCACTGGTGGTTTTGGACTGCCGACCTTTCAGTTAGCAGCCGATCATTTTAACTACTGTTAATTATTAAAATCCCATTCTAGCTCTTTTTTTTTTTCAGAGTACTGGAGAATAAGGAAAGTTTCCTTTTCTTTTTTTCTATTTTTTATATCAGCATAAACCTTATCTTCAGACATGACAGACACACAGCCACTCTCATATATTAATACAAAAGCCAACATCCTAGATAAACTATTAGTAAATTAAATTCTGTGGTATGTTAAAAGAATACTCAAGGAAAAAAAATTGCTTGTAATTAAGAAATGTATTGATATAATTTATAGTGTTAACAGTCAAAGGAGAAAAAGTAAACCATCGCATCATTCCCAAACCCATTGCAGTTGAGTCGACTCCGACTCATAGCGACCCTATAGAACAGAGCAGAACTGCCCCCATAGGGTTTCTAATAAGCTATTTTGGAGCCTGATGGGTCAGTGGTTAAGAGCTTGGCTGCTAACCAAAAGGTAGGCTGCTGGAATCCACCAGCCCCTCCTTGGAAACCCTACAGGGCGGTTCTTCTCTGTCCTATAGGGTCGCTATTAAGTGGAATCAACTCCACAGCAACAGGTTTGGTTTTTTGTTTTTGTTTTGTTTTAATAAGCTATTTGAGAAAAGCGAATTAATTTGCATGAATATTAATATGAGAATTCTTTGGGAGCATGGTTTTTGGGTTAGAGATGCTTCTTACCAGCTCACAATTGCATCTATTCTCTGAAGCCATTAGGAAGTGTGGATGGTAAGTTTTCCTCAGATGGGACAATGTAGCTCAACTCTAGCAAGAGGAAAGAAATCTCAGAGGTTGAGGCACTCACGAAGTGCTTATTGGAAGCTGTTACTGAGGTTCTCCCAGGCCAGTGACGATTCTTGGCTCGGCCACCTCTGCGGCTGGCCCTCACTAACTCTACCCGGTTCCGTGTCTACGTGCTGAAGAAGCTGACTAGGTTGGGTCCTAGAACTATTACAGATTCCCACTGCTTGAGGTGTTCTATTAAACCAAGGTTCTCATTTAGAAATGAGTTGTACTATTGAGAAGGCAGTTGTTGATGCTAAAGCTCTTGTTGAAAGATTGAAAATCATGAAGACGCAGCAGAATCTCTCATTGAGCAAACCACAGCTCTCAACAAGCAAGCGGAAGCAATGAAACAGTACCAGGAAGAAATTCAAGAACTTAATGAAATCACAAGACATCAGCTTCGGTCTACATTAGGTACGGGAATCCAGCAAGAAAACACAAATCAGGGAAATACAACAGGAGAATAAAGAATTATGTACATCCCTGGAAGAACATTAATCCGTCTTGGAACTTATAATGAGCGAGTATCAAGAACAAATGTTCAGACTGATACTGGCAAGCAAAAAAAAAAAAAAAAGATCCAGGTATAATAATGAAGCTAAAAGAGCAGCACTCCAAGATTGACATGGTACATGGTAACATTTCTGAAGGATTCTTCCTTGATGCATTTCGACACAGCCTTGAAGCACCTCAGCATGGACTGGAGAGGAGGCACTTGGAAACAAACCAGAATGAATTACAACTACGTGTTGACCAAATAACTGAAACGGCAGCAGTAAAGAGGAAAGCCATTGAAATTGATGAGCAACAGGGTTGCAAGAACAGAATATTTCAATTTGAACAAGGAAACAAAGGCTTGAGAGAGATCCTTCAAATAACTCGAAAATCATTTTTGAACCTTAGGAAAGATGATGTGTCAGAAAGCACATTTTTGTCAGCATTAGTGACCAATAGTCACCTGAGTCTGAGGAAGAGCTGAAGAGCTTCTCTTACATGGCTCCAAATGGTCACTGAGACTGGCTTACTAAATGGTTGGATTGGGTAACAAAAAAAAAAATCAATCTCAGTCAACCCTTTTATTATACATATACATGCTGTGTACAGTACCCTGGCAATGACATTTTTAAGAGATAGCAACAAAAAATGCATATTTAATGGTCACTGACTTTATTCTAAAACATAATCGAAAGGTAGAATTAAGCCATTTATAATTGGTGAACAGATGAAAGGTTTTCACAGTGACTACTGAATATATACAGAGCTTTTGGCAGTACTCTTGGCTAGTTCTGGATGATACTTGGGTAAACTTAAATATTTCCAGTAAGTGTTTGGGAATTTACAGAATTGTTCCATTTAAAAAATATAAATGTCTGCCATGGCTTTGTGAATAGAAGATCCTCATACTAAGTTTTATCCTTCCTGTTTAGTGTCAGAGTTAACAAATGGCTTACCTACTATTATTTATTGCCTCTTCACCTTCCTATTAGTTTAGGTTTTTGTCAAAGAAAACTGTTTTAAAGGCTTTAAGAATGTTTTATACTCACCAAAAACACAAGGTGATTTAATTTAGCTAATTTACCCTAATGTATAGTAGGCTAACAGTTTTCCATAACTTGCTTAAGTGTATGAAATATTTCAGGAATGAAAAAGAAGGAATATTGCTTTCTAAGAAAGAAGATCTTTTAAGAGACATATTTAGTAGGTTAAACTACTCTGAAAGAAAAAGTTTTGGTTCTAAGTCAATAATCAAGTGGCGATGTTTCTCTTCTCTGGTTGACCTTTAAGGATATTATATAGCTCATTTAGCTGAGTTGAAATGTTTGATACAGCATGCTGAGTATGGTAATTTCAAAGTAAATTGGGAATTCCCTTGGCCTTTACTCTTTTTTAAGTAATTACTCTTGAGAAATACTAATTGTAAAAAGTAAATCATAATTTCAAAAAAATTTTGGTCTTCATAATCTGTAAGATTTTTTCTTACAACCTTTTAGTCAAAAGGGAGGGAAAATCTATGGATTTAGAATTTTTTTTTTTTTAACGAAGTATCGAATATCCAGTACATAAATTTTTAAAAGGCCACCAAATACAGAAGTGTGATTTAACATTAGTCGAAACCTAAAATTTTCTTATTTTGTGATGATTTTCTTATTATCATGTGATAGAATAAAAGACTAAGAGTGTCAAATAAACTTAAATATACCATGTTTTTGTGCAAATCATGCCCACCATCTCTGTTTGTGGGCCCCCCCCCCCCCAGGTATTTTCATGTGCATGCTATGCTAATTTTTTTTATAGCAACATGTGGGGAAGGTTGGCAAGGCCGTGCTTGTGAGGGTACCTGGGGGCGGGGGTTTGGCAAGCAAACGTAGAGGGCTTGCGTTGTTTGTGTAAAACAATAAGGTATTCATTTATATTAAATATTAAAATTAGCACAAATAAAAAATTCTACTTTTGAATGTATAATCTGTTAAAGAAATATGCCTTCACATGATAATTTTTGTCTAATTTCATATATTGCTAATATTCAAAGCTACTTTTCACTTCAGAATTTTTGTATCTCACGTTTGTGGGAAAGGGGGTCACAGGGCTGACTGAATAGAAAAAGGCTAACTGCCCTAACACCAAATAGATTTCTTTTCTCATTCAGGGGACTTAATTGATATTTTATAAATAAGTTTTATTTTTAAACTTTTTATCGGCTTTTGGGAAAATATCCCTTAATTTGATAGCAATTCATTCAAATAATTTTTATCCAAAGTAAGAATTAAAGAAAGAAAATAAGCTACACAGTTGAAATGGGTAGCACAACCCCGGAACTCTGCTTTCTTAGAGCACAGGCTCAAAAATATCTCTTACTTGAACTAAGAGATTTTCTTTATCTGCTAAATTAGCCCCAAGATTCTAGGCCCTGTGATCCTACTGGGTTTCTAAGTATGACGAGAACCTCTTCTTTCCTAGAAAAGTCACAGTAAAGCCAGAGTCATTTCTGCGTGTGCAGAGAACCTGTCGTTGTTGTTAATTGCCGTAGAGTCAGCTCTGACTTGTGGTGACCCCATGTGTGCAGAGTAGAACTGCTCCATTGGGTTTCAAGGCTCTGACCTTTCAGAAGCAGATCGCCAGGGCTGTCTTACGGGGTCCCTCTGGGTGGGTTCCAACCACAAACCTTTCTGCTAGTAGTCAAACACTTGCCCTTTTGCGCCACCTAGGGACTAAATGTAGTCATAGCCAAGTGGTTAAGGTGATGGACTAGAAATTCACTGGGGTTTCCCTGCGCAGGTTTAAATCCTGCTGACTATGGAATACTTGTAGCCCGTATCTGTACCCTTGGTGGTGCAGTGCTTATTAAGAGCTTGGCAGCTAACCGAAAGGTTGACAGGTCAAATCCACCAGCTGCTGCTGGGAAATCCTATGGGGCAGTTCTACCCTGTCCTATAGGGTCACTATGAGTTCGAATCGAATGGACAGCAATGGGTTTGTTTTTTGGTTTAGGGATTAGAGGATGTATTTTAAGTTTTAGGAGCCAGAATTAATTCCTGTTGGGGTTGATGATAATTAATTTGAGCATCTTGAGGAAATAAGGAAGATTTAAGGAAGGTCAAATGATCGTTTTCACCCTTCAAGGGAACTCCTCTGCTATGTGATGACTTCTTAGGTCATGTTTCATGCTGTTAAAACTTCACTATTCTTCTCCCCTATATAAATAACCATTTCACTTGAAAGTGTCTCTGTCGTCTCTCTGCCACTTTCATTACATGGTCTAAACTCACTGTCCCTTCTGCAAGTGTCCAAACTGCTTTCCATCACACTAATTTTTCCTACACGACAAGCTTTCCAATTCTACATTCTTCTCTCTCTCTCGCTTTCTAGTTGGCCTCATTCATTTCATCTTTTCCTGGCCATTAACATCTGGAATTTAGTTAGGATAAGTAAATATTTGTTTTCCATGATGGAAATAATTTCTAATCTAATAATATGAAAAAGATCTATTTAATTTTAGCATGTGCATTTTAATAGAATTTAATCACATAAATAAACACCAATGTTTCCCAATATACATTTAAAAAAAAAATCAAGACTTAAAATGTCAATTCTGTGGTTTAGCCTTAAAATTCTGTTCTGATCTTGGTAACTTGTGGCTACAATTCACAGCAGGCCTTCTCTGTGTCCATAACCACTCCCATGATTGTGTTCACATGGATTTTTGTTCATCTAATACTTTCTGAACAGAAAAATTCAAAGGCAACAGGAATTGACTTTTCAAGTCTGTCCAGTAGTTCTCAACCTTGGTTGCATGTTAGAAAATTCTGGGGAGTGTCTAAAAATTAGTGCTATCTAGATCCCACCCCAAACCAATTCAATCAGAATCTCTGGAACGGGATTGTGTATCAGTGTGTTTTAAAGATGCCCCCAGGGAAATCTAACACAAAACCAGGGTTGAGAACTGCTGAGCCTAAGGCCAAGTATGCGAAGAAAAAATGGCAATTACAGTGGTACCAAAAATGTTGAAAAGTTAATGGTCAGTACTGCACATCAGTTTATAATGTGATATCCTCAGAGGCGAGTGAGGTTCTCCTCTCTGGCCCAGCCCTGGATTTTCGCTTGTCCAAATGTGAGGTAAAAGACCAGGCCAAACATGTTGACAGCAGCCGACAGGAAAAAGACATTCCTCCATCCAGACTCAGAATTCTAGACACACAAAAAACATAGAATTATGTTCTTTTCACTAGTTCCTTTTCTGCCAGTTTGGAAAATCCTCCATTTTGTGTACTGCAACACTGATCACAAAAAATAGACGGTCCACTGTGCACTGGCCATTTAACCTCTAAAGCCATCAAAGATGCTTTTACGAAACTGTTGGAAACTAAATGACTCTAAAATGCACACTGGGTTCTAGATTAGGATCAATTTTTCTTCAAACCCACACAAATTAACCTACGTTATTGTTTTTCTGGAACTCTAGAGCTCGACATTCATGAGAACATTGCATCATTCACATAAAGTTCTGCCTCAAATGACATCTTTAAGATCTCACATGTGCATTTGCTCTTTGTTTTGTTTAGTTTTGGCTTTGTTGTTAGCATCAACCACAGTAACTCCTTAGATGAACACCTCAATAAAACATGAGCTATGTTTGACCTGCCTGCGTCATCCTCCTCACCAGGTCCTACTAAGTCATAGTTCACTTCCAGCATTATAGTCACAGTGGATTCCTAGGAATTTGGTCAAAAAATAACTCCAGAGCTAAATCGCATAGAGATTTATTAAAAAAAAAAAAAAAACTCGTCCTTGTAAAGTGACTCTCATGAGTCCTTTCATCCCAATTTGGCTCTGTCTTTCATCTTTCCCACTAGCCTTCATTTCTGAGCAAGCCTTTTGCTCCTTGCCACTGGCAGTGCTTCACATCCATTCTCTTTTCACCCATGATTTAACCTCCCTTTAAACTGGCCTTGGGACACTTTGTGTTTCCTTTTTTTTTTTTTAAGTCAGAATTAATCTGAGCAGATTCTTCATGATCTTCCCTTTCTGCCTCTGTCTTCAACTCTTACCATTCCTGGACATGTATGATGGACATAACTAAGAACTGTTTCATGCATTTGTACCTCTAGGATGTCATACATGTTAACTTCTCTACCCAATTGTTCATTTTCATCAATCTAACACCTATTCATTTTTGGAAATTCAGCTTATATTTTTCTTCACCTGAGAAACTTGACCTGCTACAGTTTGATTGAGAATCCCCCTTGAATAAAATAATTGTGTTGCATCCATGCTTATTTTCCCCATCAGACCATACAGTCCTTCAGAGCAGTGTCTAAAACAATACAGCCACTTGCAGATGTTCAGTAAACTGGACCCAACCTGACTGATAAGGAATCCAGTGGCAGTGGAAGAGATGATTCCTGCGATGAGCCCAAATCCCCTTGAGATCCCCATAAGGAAACTTGAATATCTGAGGAGAGATGATTTTATATAGAGTAAGAGACCCTCATGGCATCTGCAGTAATTCAATATTAATGCAGCTTGACTTTAATGGCAAAGTCATTTTCCCTAATGCAGTTTTTCATTCACTTGAAGACAATGTCTATTTGCCAGACCTGAAATCACCTATCCACTGAGTTAACAACCAGGAAACATTTCAGTCTCTCTGGAAGCCAAGGTCCTCACTCTGGTTACTCAACATGGGAGGCAGTTTGTGCAGTGGGTAAGACACAGACTCTGGAGTCAAACTGCCTGAGTCCAAATCCTGGCTCTGCCCCTGTGTCACCTTTGGCAAGCAACTTAACCTTCTAGTGTCTCAGTCTTCTCCCCTATAAAATGGGGATAACAATAGGACCTACATCTTGTAGTTGTGTTGATATATGAGAAGTCTTTAGAGCTGGGTTTTGTTCATGGTGAGTACCTATGCAGTAGCTAATATTATCAACACCCTGGAAACTTTTCCAAAACACATATGTGTGGGCTCTTTCTCAGAACACACAGTCCAATCTCTGGCGGGGAGGCTTGGGGATCTTTTCATCTAAATGATTACTAGCCAAGATTGGGAACTGTTTTTCTAAAAATGCCTTAGGTTATGACCACATACTAACATTTCTATTTATTCCGTACTCTATCGTCATTTAGTGAATGTCAATAACAGGAAGGAGTTGAAGAAGAAGGCTGAGGTCTATCACCTCTGGAAAAGACTGGAAGAGGGAAAAACAAGTAAAACTCTTACCTGGGGGCGATATCTAAGGTGTTGATGATAAATCCCGAGTCACACAAGTTGCTGGTCCCAGGAATAAGTATCAGCAAAATAACGGTTGTCATATAACTGGAAGTCACAAAGGGCAGGGTCATAGCGCAGACTGACGGGAGGAGGAGCCCTGGGCAATGAGGACACGCCATCAGGAACCCTCTTAGACCACACGTGGAAAAAGGGATTGGTTAACTTGGCCCAGGGGCCTATCCTTACCTAGGGACGAAAAGAGTTTTCGCACCGTACTTAATCTGAGAAGATTCCTGGACAGAAGGAAATCTGCCAGTTGACCTCCTAGAATCGTACAGCTTGAGGCAGCAATAAAAGGCAGGGAGGACAAAACTCCACTCTGAAGGAAGGAAAATTAAACAGTGAGTAATTACAGATGTGCATATAGCACCAAAATTTATCCATTATGCAGACCAATCATTAGCCCGCCCCTGACATTCTGAGTCATTTTAGGCAATTAGCATCCTTTTCCACCCTAGAAAAATACTGTCTCAGGTAAGAGGGCTAGCCCTTGAATCACACTGGTCCCCAGAGAAAAGCAATATTTATTTTTAAGGAAAACTGAAGAATCGGCCAGTGTGGCAGCGTAGCAGAGTGGTTAAGAACATAGCTGCTGGAGCAGCTCTACCACTTAATAATTGTGTAACCCAGGGCAAGTCATCTTACCTCTATAGGTGCCCATTACTACACCTGTGCAATTGAAATCATCACAGTGCCTCTCTCGAGGTCACTGTGAGGGTTAAGTGAGTGACTATGTGCAAAGCACAGAGAACAGTGACCAGAATACCAGGCAGCACAAAGCTAAGTCTCCTTACTGCCATTACTATCATTTTTGTAGAAGTATAGGAAGTATACTTACATCTCTAATGTTAACGTGGAGCACAGAACTGATGTACGTTGGTAGGTATGTTATGATTATGGTGCACAACCAGAAATGGCTGAAAAAACCCATGAAAATGGCCCAAAGTGGGAGGCATCTGACCATAGCCTTTATCGGGACAGATCGTCTAGGAGAACCGGGCTGAAAGGAAATATCTAATCAACTTGAGTATTAGAACAGGCCAGAGGCCACTTCTCCTGGGAGACCCATGTCCTCCCCAGTGATCTTGGCACAGTTCACAGGTAGAAGGGGTGCCCCGTACCTTTTGAGCTAGTGAGAACACAATGTGTTCCCTTTCCCTGACACTAATACATGGGTGATGCATGGGGTCGTCGTAAATCACCGTGAACCACAGGAGACAGCAGACACAGCCAATGCTACCTGGGAAGGAGGGACCCAATTAGTTTTCAGGTTGATTTGTGTTCTGGGAGGAAGGGTGTCCTCTGAATTGACATGCTTGCTCCCACAAACACACGTATCAATTTATGGTGACTCTACCATAAGGACATACATTTTCCCACTTCTTCTTTTCAACTCTTCAATAAACTCCTTTTTACCATTAAAGCTTTCTAGATACCACCTCCCAAATACCGAGTCTTCATTTGTCAGTATCAGAACCCTCTGGAAATAGCATGAGCATGAACATTGCATACTGTAAACCAAAAGGGCCTAAGCTTAACATCACTGATGATAAAACTATCCAAGCTGGAATTATATTTAATGACACCATTTGGCTATAACAACAGAACAATCAGTAAGAATTGTCTCATTGCTAGGACTTGTTATTTGAAGAAGATTCTATGTTAAAAGACTCTGGGGACAATGTTATTTGAATTTCCTCTAATTACTGGGTCCACCCATTCTTTTATTTATAAAGCTAAAAGTCAGGCACTACCATAGGCACTAAAGTGGTAAAGACATTATAAAATGGATTCCTTGCCTCAAACACTTCACAATCTAATGGGGGCAGGTGTAAATAATCACATGCCAATGTGTCCTAGTGAAGAAACAGCAAGAAGAAGCATAGAGGACAGAATCTGATGGGATAAGTGCTAGAAATTCCCATGGGGAAGGGGACATTTGAACTGAGCATTGCAAGATTCACCAAGTAGAGAATAAGGTTAAGGGCACCTTCGTCGGAAATGATACTGATAATGAAATACAAAGACACATTGAAGGTGTGCTTTGCCAACTTTGATAACTACATACAGTGACTAGAACAGTCATTTTAAATGTAATGGTAGAGGTTCTGCAGATGCTTGGAGCAGGGAGTAAGTCTGCATTCCTTATTTCTCAGAGATCAGAATTATGTGTACAGTAATCCTCTCTGCCCTAGGCCCAGAACACAGTGCTGCCCGGAACCACCAGGACAATATTAAATCAAGCTGTGTTGACTAGAATAAGAAAGCTATCAATCCTAAACATTCTTCATCATCTTCCATTTAACAAAGGACATTTTCTCTCATATGGGAAGCACGTGGACAGTATGGGCATCAAAATCGATGTCTGGGAAATGGAAGCATTAGAATTTGAGATAAAGTGACTCACCAAAGATATAGAAGATAAAAGGCCAGCCCAAGGCCTGGCAAATTAGTCCCCCCACACAGAGGATGATGAAGGATCCAAATGCTACCCCTGAGGAGAAGGGGCAGGGAAAAAAAAACTTATGTCAGCATCAAACCTGAGACTGAATGGCCAGCCTATGCATTGTCCCAACGGTGAGATGGCACACTTAGAATGACTGGGTAGTAAGATTTTTTCTTCCTGCTCACACATCTCCCCCAGTGAAGCCATATTAGTCGTTAAAATTAATAAAAAATATGCCACTGACTCGTCAATGTCCTCCACACCAATGTGACCAAATCCAAATCCCTCTGTCTGCAATGGCCAAAAGTACAAAAAATCAAACCCTTTGCCATTGAATCAATTCCACCTCACAGTAAACCCATGCGTTAAGCAGTAGAACTGCTCTATAGTGTTTTCTTGGCTGTAATATTTATGGAAACAGATCACCAGGTCTTTCTTCCATAACATCACTGGGTGGGTTCAAACAGTCAACCTTTAAATTAGTAGTCAAGGGTAAAGTGTTTGTACCACCCAGGGATCTATCTCTGCAATGACAGCCCACCTATATTCCCTTATGTTTAGAATTGCATTTAGGCAGGGTACAACATGAGTTTGGGAGAAGGAAAGGAAAGACAAAAATTAATTAGATACAATCACTGCCCTCAAGGAGTTGTTATTCCAATTAGAGAGATAAGTGAGACCAAATTCACTATTACAAGTGTAATACAAGGTAGATCTTGCATTTTTAACACATCTTACAGAAGTCCACAATAAAAAAATGCACTTTATATGGCAACACGACACACAGACTCAACAATACACAAACATTTGTACACACAACCACACGTAAACACACATGCCTCAAACAAAAGTTTCATGAAATTATACCCTTACTGTATGCAATATATTCTAACATTCTATTCTATTGATTTTCATTTTTGAAATACTGATTTTGACCCACCAATTTGATTCTATGACCCACTAATGAACCTTAATTTGGAAAAAAAAACTGATTCAGAATAGAGATATGATAATAAAACTATAATATGCTATAGAATTATACACGAAGAGAAATTAATAATGATTATAAGACTTAGAAATTGTGTACATGAGCTATAAACAGTATGATGGATAGAATTTTGGCAAGTAGAACTGAGAGCAGAGGACTTTCCAGTGATACTAGCCAGTAGAATTGTCAGAGAAAATTTAAGTACAGATGTGTGTGGGGGATGGGGTGGGGGAGAGGGGGCGGGTAACACATGGCTAGTGCAATTGCAGCCTTGCTTGTAGAAGGTTGTTGACTGGAGTGGGAAAGCAAGTTGGGACAGATGGACAAGCATCTTTATATCCATGCAATAAGGAGGTCAGTCTTTAGTGTGCAATCATGGAGGAACACACTGAAGTGCTCAAGCAGGTGAGAAAAAATGCCCTAGCTGTGCTTTAGGAAGATAATTTGACTTCAATGGAAAGAGAGGTAGGAAGAAACAAAGCTGGAGAAAAGAGATGAGCTGAAAATGGCACTTGAGATAGAGGAGGTAGTTCCAAATATGATAGAAGGAAGCTGGCAAGCATGAAGGCTGCTGTAAGGTAAAAATCCATAGGATGTGGTCATGTACTGGACCTGGAGTGAGAAGCTTGATGGAAACCTCATTTCTGTTCTTTAAGTATATACTCTTAGGGCTACCAGTCGGGGAAAATAGAGACGATGAAGTTGTGTAATCCATAGTATGATCACAAACTATGGAAAGGCAGTCTAGCATGACAATGGAGAGTATGCACTCCCAGGCCAAATTTCCTGGCCTCAAATCCTAGTCCTACCACCTACTGGCTGTCTGAAGTAGGACAGTTTACTTAATCTCTGCGTACCTTACTTTCCTTCTCTGTCAAATGAGAATTAAAAGAAAGTATCTACATCAGAGGCCTGTTGTGAGGATTACCCCAGAACAGTAAAGAGCTCAGAAAAGCAAAAAGCTCAGAATAATGCTGACTCTTTAAATGCTGCTTTCCAACCTGATTTTTCTCCTTACCACTCTGAATTCTGATAGTCTTAATTCTCATGTGCACATCTTTGCTAAACTGGTGTTTACACAGCTTGCCTGACCTTTTACCACTTATGCAAATTCTTAAAGTTCTAAACTATTTCTTACAAGACTCTTAAGACTACCTAGCTCACAGGGTAGCCTCACAGGGTGGTCTCTCCTGCTTCTGAACAAACCTCAGTGGTTTACAGCACAGATGCGTCTTTCTTATTTGCTATGTAACTGTCTTACATTGTTTAATTTTGGTGGCATTTTTCTCCCTCTTTCCTAAACTATCCAATTCAGAGAAAGAAAGCTGTGGTAGGGGTGAAGCAGATTACAAAGCTTTGACCCATATATGCATCCTTACCTGATCCTGCAATGCTAGTAAGCTTGCTTCTTTCCAGTGGGGGAGCCCATTTTGCCCAAATTGTAAACTGACCTGTCCATGCCATTCCCTGAAATGAAAATCTTTAAGAACTTTGAGCTCTAGTAGAATTCAGAAGTCTGTATTACATTCAGAATGAGAAATTATCTGGATACCTGAGCCATGCCCTGGACTGTTCGAATTGCAATAACCAAAATCACCCCAAAATTGGCAGCCAGTGGTGTGAAGAGGGTGAGAAGAGAGGAGATCAGTAAACCAGCACCAAGCATATGTTTTGCTCCAAATATTCCTGCTAAATATCCGCTTGGGATCAGAGTCAATATTATTCCATAGTTGATTGAGCTAAAGATGATACCCTGAGTTTCTGGACTCCATTCATATACAGAGGCCTAGAGGAAAAAAAGAAAGAAAGAAAACTCTTGGCTAAGAAGTCCTTTTGTGAAAATCCACTTTACAGCCAGGAGTTGCTTGGGGTTGACAGGACCCTATTATAAAATATCTATTTTCTTTCTTTATTTTTTTTACTTAACTTAAATATCCCACATTTTCAAAACAACCGATTATACCTCTAATTTGCACCTCTCAAAGGGAGAGAAAAACAGAGTAAATGAAGAAGAAAACAGATAAATAAAATGATTACATAGATGGGTAATAGGAAGAAGCAAACAGAGAGAGCTACTGAGAGATGGTTCATCTATGAAAAAGCTTCCTTTAACTATTTCTCCTTCTGGCAAAAGTTGGGTGGCATGTTGATTCCCATTACAAAGAGTAAGAAAAACACACCAAAATCAGTTCTTAATTAAAAAAAAAAAAAATCACGTTTGGGAATTCTGGTTTGTCCGGCAGAGCTGACTTCCTAAAACACGTATTACAAATAAGTAAGATTGCATTCGTCTTCTGATATAACTCAATAAATAATTTTTGGTAGCCCACTAGATATATGACATCATGCTGAAAGTTGAAGTAGAAAGTCAAAGAATATAAAATATGAAATATTTTATCCACTTACAGTAACTAAATAATGCAAGGGATGTGATTCATGTCAGAATGAAGGCTTCAGGATGAATGTAAGTAAAATAAGGACTTTGAGGAGAAAGAAGAACAATTTGGGAAGATTCCAGGAAGGAAGCAGTATTTGAACTATCCTTTAAATAACGACTACGATGTGTATAAAGAGAAAAAGGAAAAATCATTCTCACTGAAGAATACAGCAAAAGTGGACTTGTACCATTTGAAATACTACCAATGGATCAGAAACTAACCGGGACTCTTGTTTGCCCAGAGAAAATACTCTCCTGAGGCCATTGAGAGCAGATGTGACTATGCTGGGAAGTGGGACCCAATTCTGAGGGAGTACAGCATGTTCTAGGAACAGTCTGGCAACTGGAAGATGTTCCAGATTCCTAAGCACAGACGTATGGATGTGTAGAATGGAATGATGGAAGAAAAACTGGAGACAGGGAGATCATTATAAATGAGCTGGATCAAAGACAATAAAAAATGTAAATTATGGGGACAACATTGGAAATGTACAATAAATGATTGTTTAAAGAATAATTTTTGAAAGAGATAATCATGATTCTAATGCAAGTATAAAATGAACATGTCAAAGATTTTATTAAACTTATTGATGAGTGAGGAAATCACTAAGATGTTACAACTTGTTCAAAGGAGAATTCAAAGAACCACGCACATATAGGCAGTAAGTAATGCTGAAATGGATTTTAAATAGATGACAAAAATGGCTTAGTCAACTGTGTGTGTGTGTAGGGGGATTATCAACCGATTTTACAGAGGACAAAATTCATTTGCAAGGCTATCAATAAGATTCATTTGTACCGCTATCAGTTATACACAATTTACAGTTATAAAATAGCTCAAAGACATTGAAAGGCAGAGGATCACCCACAGAATCAGATAACCCAGAATGACCTGCTTAAACAATGTCTAGTTTTCTATTGCAGATACCTAGTAATCTGTTTGGTCCATTTCAGAATTTTTTTGAATTTTTTCCTACAGATCCCCTACCTTATGATCTTAACAATCTCGAAGAAAGACTATTTTTTATCACAGATGTAAGCAATGTCTCAAAGAAAAACAAACCCACTTCTTTTCAGTTTGTCATTAAAAATTCATGCTTTTAAACTCTGCAGACAAGATTTGAGGCTTCCTTTTAAAATGGGTTTTCCCTCTCTACATAAAGCTTTCTTCTGCTATCAAACTTACCCCGGTATTAAATTCCTTGATGGATCTGCTGGGGTTATTGAGGGTGTCTGCAAGGGGTCCCTCTGTGGAGACATTAGATATATTTTGCTGCTCAGTGCTGTTCACCATGGCGATAATCGCAATGCTCAGACTCACACGCTGGGTTATCATGGTGAAGTTTGAGAAGTGCATGATGAGAGCCAGCCCATAGCGTAATGAACAGAAACCTGGACCTAGAGAACAACACAGGAATATGCGATGAACATCTTGACTGAGACCCATTTCTTTCCATTTTTCCCACAGCTAAATGTGGAAGAACATGAGATGACCTCACACTGTCCCATGGTCTTTTTTCACCAAAATAACTACAAACTTCCTGTGTCAATTTCTTTTGTTGGCTTCAAAACAATGAATTTTGGATCTTGCAATTAAGGAGGTTAAATATGGCTCTCCTTCAGAGATGTGCACAGCAGATGACAGAGAAAAAACCTACATACAAGGCATATAGGTCACATAGCTCCAAATTAAAGCGAATGGGGAATATGGTGGTAGAGCCAATCACAAAACCTAAGTCTCCCAGTTGCAAGTCAGTGGTCCTATTCATTATGTACATTCATTTATCACAAAGCGTGAAATTTTATACTTAGATGCCTTTCGATTAAGCTAATTGCACATCGAAGGATTCTCTTTAAAAACAGCTGAGAGATGGTACTTTAACGTAACACTTTTCACTAATTCCTTAGTGTGATGTCCATCTGGAAAAATCCCAGCTGTGTACCACAAGGCCCTGCTTTCACATATGGTCAGTTGTGTTTTATTTTTGTTTGCTGACCTTTTAAATTAATATGGAGAATCATTTTTACTAAGTTTGTAGCTGACGTGATGCTACAGGAGTAGTCAATATATTGCAATATGAAAGAGTGAAAAATAAAAGTTCCCACAAAGTAGTACTCCTACCTCATTGCCGTCAAGTCGAATCTGACTCATAGAGACCCTATAGGACAGAGTAGAACTGCCTCATAGGGTTTCCCAGGAGCATCTGGTGGATTCAAACTGCTGACCATTTGGTTAGCAGCCAAATGCTTAACCACTGCACCACCAGGGCTCCCAAAGTAGTAAAGTGGACCAATATCGATAGGGTTCCCATTTTAATGATGGATTCAATTTCTTATGTATATTTGGAGAACTGGGACCAAAGAAAAACAAAGAGATGACCTATAAAGAAGTAGATAAAAATATAATGGAATACAAAGACTTTTAACAGCCAAATAGGCCCAAGGATACGGTTGGCTGTCTACAAAAGAAGTTATTTCCATGTTACCGGAGGTTTCCAAACTTAGGGGAAATAGCTAGCCACTTAGCAAGGATATTATAGCAGGGATTCATGATATTCTAGCGGAGATTCATGCATAGTTTGGGGGTCTGTTTAAAATGACTTTTTCAAGACTCATTCCATCCCTTAGATCCCAAGACTTATTGATCGCTTGGCTTAATTTCTGATAGATAAGTAGGCAGAGCTCCCTAAGAAAAAGGCAACAGGCAACTATAATCTGCCAGGATCGGGGGCTGGGATGAATCTGCTGTTGCATTGGGAGAGCCTCTACCAAGCGGTGGCACAATGAAAAACAGAGGAGAGAGAAGATGTGTCAAGAACACTGAAAATAGCTTCGACTCTTCCATAATGTAGCCTGCCAACAAGAGAGGTGGTGTTACCTTTCCTGGTAGAAGACTTCTCATCCATTTGGCTCCTCTGGGAAATGGTGTCACACTTTGTGGTGGAATTTCCCTCTACCCTGAATCTCTTTTACCACGACTGTTTTTTATCTATGGAGAGAACATTATCCAAACAATGATACAATTTTCTCATATTAATGTTACCTCCTCTCAGCATAAGTAAAAGTTTTGACTCAACAAACTATATATGATTTACATTTTATTGTATATTTCTTTAGTGCTATACTTTCGGAGGATTAGATTTTTGCCCAAAAATCTGGCTTTAAGTGCCAGCAATGTGATTTATAGAATCATGTAGTATCTAATCATTCATTTCCTCATCTGTTCAATAAGGATAATGCTCCTTTCTGAGTGGTGCTGTGAGAATTAAATGAGATCGTTATAAGTGCTTTATAAAACCACAGAGAATTATACAAATGTAAAGAGTACTCTGGCTTGTATGTAGCAGATCAGAAGATGAGACAAGACAGTTAAATTAAACTTAAGAGCTGAAGAGGAAGGTTCTAGAGCAGCCTTTTCTTTCATTTCTAATCATGTTTCCTTTCCATCTGCACAACCAAAACAACGGTCTATGGTGTCTTCTTTGAAGAAGAAGGATGGCTCTGCATAATACATATGTACGTATTTTAAATGTTTATATATATTATATTTAAAGGTTTGTTGTTGTTGTCCACTGCCATCAAGTTGGCACCCAACTTATGTGACCCCACGCACAACAGAACAAAATGCCCCATCTTGACCTATCCTCATGACTGGTTACAGATCAAATCATTGTGATCAATGTGGTTTTCATTGGCTGATTTTCATAAGTAGATCACCAGGCCTTTCTTCCTAATTCAAAGGTTTAAATGTACTATGTTCCATATATATGTATCATATGTAATTTTCTACCACTTGTCTGTCAGTTTGTTGTATTGTGGTGGCTTGCATATTGCTGTGATGCTGGAATCTAAGCCACCGGTATTTCAAATACCAGAAGGGTCACCCATGGTGGACAGGTTTCCCAGAGCTTCCAGACTAAGACAGACTAGGAAGAACAATGCGGACGTGGTAGTCTACTTCTGAAAAAATTGACCAGTGAAAATCTAATGAATATCAGCAAAATATTGCCTAATATAGTGCCAGAAGATAAGCCCCTTAGGTTAGAAGCCACTCAACATACGACTAGGGAAGAGCTGCCTTCTCAAAGTAGAGTCAACATTAACGATGTGGATGTAGCAAAGCTTTTGCAACCTTCATTTGCTGATGTGGCACAACTCAAAATGAGAAGAAACAGCTGCAATCATCCATTAATAATCAGAATGTGGGATGTACGAAGTATGAATATAGGAAAATTAGAAGTCTTCAAAAATGAAATTGAATGCTTAATGATCAATATCCTAGGCATTAGTGAGCTGAAATAGACTGGTATTGGCCATTTTGAATCAGACAATCATAGGTCTACTATACTGGAAATGACAAATTGAAGAGGAATGTCTTCACATTCAACGTCAAAAAGAACATTTTAAGATCTATCCTGAAGTACAACGCTGTCAGTGATAGAATAATATCCATACGCCTGCAAGGAAGACTGGTTAATATGACTATTATTCAAATTTACACACCAACCACTAATGCCAAAGATGAAGAAATTGAAGATTTTTACTAACTTCTGCAGTCTGAAATTGATCAACTATGCAATCAAGATGCACTGATAATTACTGGTAATTGGAATTTGAAAGTAGGAAGCAAAGAAGAAGGATTGGTAGCTGGAAAATACGGCCTTGTTGATAGAATCACATGATAGGATTTTTCAAGACCAATGGCTTATTCATTGAAAATACCTTTTTTCAACTTAATAAATATTGACTATACACATGGTCTTGCCAGATGGAATACACAGGAATTAAATCAACTACATCTGTGGAAAAAGATGATGGAGAAGTTCAATATCACAGTCAGAATAAGGCCAGGAGCTGACTGTGGAATAGACCAGCTATTGCTCCTATGCATGTACAAGTTGAAGCTGAAGAAAATTAGAACAAGTCCATGAGAACCAAAGTACGACCTTGAGCATATCCCGCCTGAATTTAGACACCATCTGAGGAAGAGATTTGATGCATTGAACACTAACGACTGAAGAACAGACGAGTTGTGGAATGACATCATACATGAAGAAAGCAAAAGTTCATTAAAAAGACAGGAAAGAAAGCAAAGACTAAAATGGATGTCAGAAGAGACTCTGAAACTTGCTCTTGACCATAGAGCAGCTAAAGTGAATGGAAGAAATGATAAAGTACAAGAGCTCAACAGAAGATTTCAAAGGGCAGCTCAAGAAGACAAAGTAAAGTATTATAATTAAATATGTAAAGACCTGGAGTTAGAAAACCAAAAGGGAAGAACACACTCGGTATTTCTCAAGCTGAAAGAATTGAAGAAAAAATTCAAGCCTCGGGTTGCAATAGTGAAGGATTCTACAGGGAAAATAGTGAACAACACAGGAAGCATCAAATGAAGTTGGAAGGAATACGCAGAGTCACTACCAAAAAGAACTGGCTGACGTTCAACCATTTCAGGAGGTAGCATATGATCAAGAACTGATTGTACTGAAGATGAAGTCTAAGCTGCACTGAAGGTATTGGCAAAAAATAAGGCTCCTGGAATTGACTAAATACCAATTGAAATATTTGAACAAAAGGATGCAATGCTAGAAGTGCTCACTTATGTACTTCAAGAAATTTGGAAGACAACTACCTGACCAACTGACTGGAAAAGTTCCATATTTGTGCCCATTCCAAACAAAGGTGATCCAACAGAATATGGAAATTATCAAACATATCATTAATATCACATGCAAGTAAAATTTTGTTGAAGATAATTCAAAAATGGTTGCAGCAGTACATCAACAGAAGACTGCCAGAAATTCAAGCTGGATTCAGAAGAGGATGTGGAACAAAAGATATCATTGCTGATGTTAGATGCATCTTAGCTGAAAGCAGAGAATGCCAGGAAGATGTTTACCTGTGCTTTATTGACTGTGCAAAGGCATTCGACTGTGTGGGTCATAACAAATTATGGATAACATTGAGAAGAATGGGAATTCCAGAGCACTTAAATGTACTCATGAGGAGCCTGTACATAGACCAACAGGCAATCATTTGAACAGAATAAGGGGATACTGCTTGGTTTAAAATCAGGAAAAGTGTCCATCAATCTTATATTCTTTCACCATACTTATTCAATCTCTGTGCTCTACAAAGAATCCAAGAAACTGGACTAGTTGAAGAAGATGAAGACATCAGGATTGGGGGAAGACTCACTAACAACCTGCAATATGAAGATGACACAACCTTGCTTGCTAAAAGCGAAGAGGGCTTAAAGTACTTACTGATTAAGATCAAAGACTACAGCCTTCAGTATGGATTACACCTCTACATAAAGACATGAGAAATCCTTACAACTGGACCAATAAGCAACATCATGATAAATGGAGAAAATAGCGAAGTTGTCAAGGATTTCATTTTACTTGAATCCACAGTCAATTTCCATGAAAGCAGCAGTCCAGAAATCAAATGACGTATTGCATTGGGTAAATCTGCCGCAAAAGACTGCTTTAAAGTGTTAAAAAGCAAAAATATCACTTTGAGGACTAAGGTGCACCAGACCCAAGCCATAGTATTTTCAGTCGCCTCATATGCATGCAAAAGCTGGACAATGAATAAGGGAGACTGAACAAGAATTGATGCCTTTGAATTATGGCATTGGCAAAGAATATTCAATATATCATGGACTGCTAGAAGAACGAACCAATCTGTCTTGAAAGAAATATAGCCAAAATGCTCCTTAGAAGCTAGAATGGTGAAACTTTATCTCATGTACTTTGGACATATCATCAGGAGGATCAGTCCCTGGAGAAGGACATCATGCTTGGGAAAGTAGATGGTCAGAGAAAAAGAGGAAGACCCTCAATGAGATGGATTGACACTGTGGCTGCAACAATGGGCTCAAATATAGCAATGATTATGAGGATGGCGCAGGGCAAGGCAATGTTTTGTTCTGTTGTACATAGGGTAGCTATGAGTCAGTTGTAACCAACTCTACAGCTCCTAACGAGTATCTCCGGATATAAGTGTAATTTGATCCCCAGTATTAATTCATGAAAGTTGCCAATTGGTGTTTTTCAGCCGATATTAAAGTTAGTTTAGAACTTATGTTATAGAAGCGCAAAAGCCAATCAGTACTCTTTTATCTTTTGCTGTATACATTATTCTAACAGTAATAATTTAATAATGATAATGAAATTATTATAATAAATTTTGGATTGCCAATTGGATCAAATTACCAACCTTTGTTTCAATTTAATAATATCTATCTAAACATATATATAGACATAAATATATAAAATTTCCTCCCCCTGTATCCAGATTTTTGTTTGCTTGTCACTGGATATACTATGGGGCGGATGGCTCTCTCTTTTTAGCCTCTTCATATTTATACATTTTCTTCTTATTGTTGTTATTGCCATCAAGTTGATCAAATTCATGGTGACTGCATACGTGCAGAGTAGAATTGCTCCATAGGGTTTTCTTGGCGGTAATCTTAATGGAAGCAGATCATCAGGCCTTTTCTTCCTCAGTATTACTGGGTGAGTTTGAACCATCAACCTTTACGTTAGCAAGAGAGCAAACCGAGCAAACCGTTTACACCACCCCGAGACCTTACCCTTTAACACTACCTCTCCTTTATTTTCATATTTTAGGCACAAGCTTAGAGCATAATACAACAGTTTCATTTTCAGGTATTCAAAATGAAAATGTATAATATTAAATCAAGTTTTAATCATTTGTTCCAGAACGAAATTTAATAATGTAAAATATTTTCAAGTTGAGATTTTAATATATATATTTAAAAAGCTACTTTTTCTTTCACTTTTGCATTAGTGAAACTAGATCACAAACCTATCACTTCAGTTTTCCTTCATGTTTTGCATCTGTTGACATCCAATAGAAAGGGGTGAAAAGCCTTACTTAGCTTCTGTGGCCACAAATGCTATTTTGAATTTTATCTCAATAGCTAATTGTGGTTGTTAATTTCCCTAATTTCTTTTCATGAGACAAATACAGAAACTGGGCTAACATCCCAAACCTTTCTAAACAGGAGACTTTCTGTGATATAATAATGGAAATAATTGGTTTACAGTATTCTCACAGAAGCATATGAGATGATGGGTTCTGAGCACTAACGTGATTGATATGAAATTAGAGACAGTGGAATCAATCTTAGCCCAATTGTAAGCAATAGAAAACATGTAACACTGTCAAAGGGGTCCCTGGGTGATGCAAACGGTTAAGGACTTGTCTTCCAGCCAAAAGGTTGGTGGTTCAAACCCACCCAGTGGTGCCTCAGAAGACAGGCCTGACAATCTTCTTCCAAAACCCTATGGAGCAGTTCTACTCTGCACACATGGAGTCGCCATGAGTCGGACTCAACAGCAACCTAAAACTAACAACAACAACATTGTCAAGGACCTTCCCATTCAAGAGTGAAACATGTAAAAGAATAGAAAATCATAGCATCAAAGCCATAAATACACATCGGAAAACAGAATTAAAATCAAGTCAAAAGCAAATTTAAAAATTATGTTAGGATGCAATATAGTATTGTAGTTGAGACAAAATAATTAATAATATAGACAATATGGTTTATGCATAAGCAAAAGGATAGATCTTCCTTTTCTTCTTAGTCTAGAACTCACTATTTTGTTGTGTGGGCTTTCCATCGCTCTTAGAGTTCCCTAATATTCAGCCTGTCTTGCATCATCTGTTAGAAAAATCTCCCAGTTTACTCAGAGTAAATGTTACACGTGGTTGAAAGAGCATAAGCCTGCGGTTCAAAGGGCATCCAAGGACTGAGTTCTGCTCTACCATTCACAAGCTAAGTAAACCTAAGCAGGTTTCATAAGCTCCCAGAGCTTTGTTTCATAGGAAAAAAAAATGAGGATAATATTACTTCATGAGATTGTTATGAGTAAAATTAATAAATGTATGAGAAATGTCCTGTAAATTGTAAAATATTATGCATTGTAAAATGTTGATATTGGTATTAACAACAGCAGCAATAATAAACGGTCACAATATTGGCACCTTGGCCCCCTCAGATCCATAAGTAAGAAGAGGCTTTCAGCACAGAAAACAGAGTTCTATGAAAGTCTGTTTTATTGGTTATTAAATTGGTTATAAACTTTTCCTTTTAAAAGTGGATTCTTCTGGACTGGAATCCATAAGATGGGTACAGGAGGGAAGTATCTTTCTGCAAACATCAGAAAACACGGGAAGAAATAGTTCCTTCCGTGTCAGCAAAATTGAAGCCCCTTTCATCACCTGCCTAGATTTCTGAGGGTTTGGTAGTTCTTTAAATAAAATCAGTTATTCCAGTATATTGTTTATGTCATGCTGTCAATTCATTTGTAAGTTTAATTATCAAAAAAAAAAGAAAGGGAAAAAAGTATCCTCAGCAGCAATGGTGGGCAATCCTAGAAGGCAGGGTTATGTAAATACTAAGGAGCACCACCTTCATGGGCCTCATAGCAGGTCAGGAGATGACCACCCGCTACACCCCAGTGCCTTGCTCCTTTTCTCCAAGCAAAATTGTGCCTTCCAGGCCAACAAGAGGCCTCCTGTGCTTTGGAATAAGGATTTTTCCTGGGCAGGCTGGAAGGTGGCATCTTCACTGAGCCTTTTCCCTTCTGGCTCCTGGTCATAGCACTAATGTTAGGTGCCATGAAGTCAGTTTCAACTCATGATGACCCCATGTGTGCAGAATAGATCTTCTCCATAGGATTTTCAAGGCTGTGAACTTTCAGAAGCAAATTGCCAGGGCTGTCTTCCCAGGTACCTCTGGGTGGGTTCAAACGTCAATCTTCCAGCTAGTAGTTGAGAGCTTAACCGTTTGCCCCACCCTGGGTGCCTAATAGGTAGCCATAATCTCTCTAAGTAACTTTTCTCAGCTATGTAAGAAGCGTAACAAACCAGATGTTCTCTACAAACGTACGTGCGTTCTTACCTTCAGTCTTATTCACGACAACCTAATTCATGTTTTCCTTTTCTTGAGAAACAATTTCAAGCACATATAGAAATCTGAAAAGACTCATTAGTCTCATTTCCCAGACCCAAACGTTACTAGTTCTGATGCTATATTCTATTCCACAGTCAAAGGCCGTCTTATTCATCAAGGTGGCCCAGTTAATACTCACCGGGTGCTCAGAGAAGTGATCATTGTCCTCAGTGCCCGTTGGCACCAGTGGCCTCTCAAGCCTTGCTGTAGGGTCTTGATTGAATCGGTTACCTTTTTTAGAAAGTTTTTTCTTCGTTTTGGAATCAGAGACCATTCCCAGGTAGAGATCTTTAGGATGATATTAATGTTTTCACTCTGACTTCCCCTAAAACTGTTCCTTCCCTTTAGTGGATCTCTGGTTAGTAATTACCCTTCAACCCGAAAGAAAGAAAATTACTTCCCTTCACCAGTAAATTAGTATGATAAGTCCTAGACCATAGGCTAACTTGAAGAAGGAGAGAGTTTCCGTCCCTTCATCCCTTTCAAATAATTCTGCACAGTTTCACAGGGGTAAATAATAAGCCACATGGCAGTCAGACAGCGCCAGCTTGACCCTACATTCTCAGCGCAGAGAAGCTGGGCTTGGCTTTGTTGTTTAATTTTTAACTTCATTTTCAAGTTCTCACAAACAGAGTGAGACATCTCTATGACATGTCACTGTGTTTTTCTGCTTTAAACTGTGCATACAGCCATTTCATCATTAAGCCTTTTTCCTGAAAAGAAGACCACATGGTAAAGAAGAAAGCAGGGTTCATCGGATTGGAGAGGTGGGGTCAACTCCACCTTGACTTCCTAGTTTTCTGTGACCGAGTACTTAATCTTTTCGAATTGGTTTCTACATTAGTAAAAGCACAGGTTATAATACTCAGTTCATGGGGTTAGTGGTAAATTAAATGAAATACATATGCTAACTGGTAGTAGGCCCTCAATAAATGGGATGTTTCCGTTAAGGGTTCCATTAACTCAGCTACATTTCTTTTAAGTATTTGGTGTCCATGGCCTAATAAATGTAAACTCTGGATACTCTGCCATCTTCCCATGAAGCTGCCCCGGACCCTTCCTTCCTACTTCTTATCTGTGCCCTTCCTATTCCAGTCTCTGTTTGTCTCCTGATGCCTTGATTCATGTTCTATTCTTAACTTTTGAGCCGTGGTTGTTACCTGGTCTTCCTAGTTTGACTCTCAACTCTCATTAAATGAGGCAGAAACCTGCATGCCCTTCTTAGCTTTATCTGCTTCAAATTTCCTTAGAGGAATTCCCAGGTACTGGTCAGTCTTACCAACCTTCCCAAAAGAACCTACCGGAGCCAACATTTTGGCCTGGCTACATGGTCCCTGCATTGGTTTTCTATTGGAGCTGTAAAAAATTATCATAAACTTAGTGGTTTTAAAAAAAAATCTATTATCTTAAAGTTCTAGAGGTCAAAAGTTTGAAATGGGTCTCACTAAGCCAAAATCAAGGTGTCGGCCAAGCCCTACTCTCTCCAGAGGCTCTAGGGAAGAATCTTTTTCTTGCCTTTTCTAGAGGCCACCTGAATTCCTTGGCTTGTGTTCCCTTCCTCCATCTTTAAAGCCAGCAACATAGTATCTTCAAATTTCTTTCTTCCACTCTGATCTTCTTGCCTCTAACAGAGAACCTTGTGAATACATTGGGCCCACCTGAATAATCTAGGATAATCCCCCTATCTCTGTAACGTCCCTTTTGTTATGTAAGATAACGTATTCACAGGTTTCTGGGATTGGTGTATGGACCTCATTAAGGGAGGAGGACCTGTCATAGCCCTCTTTCAAGAGGTGGAAGGGTAACAGGAAGAATTGAAACAGTGGATCCTTCCTTCCTTTAATTAAAAATTCTGGCTACTGACTTATTGTAAAATCATCATGTACCTGATCAGTCAATAAAAATAATTAAGAAGGAGACACTTAAGAATTTTCTGTTGAATCTGCCCAGAAGAAGATGCGACATTTTCTAATTTGAACAAAAACACGGCAGGAGCTAGCAGCAGCCTCAGTAGAAAAAGTAGCCAAGAGCTAATCCCAAAAGAGAAGTAAATATAAGGCAAGAGTGGTCAATAGTGTCCAATGCAACAAGTAAGATACAGACTGCATTTTTCAAGTTGCATCTTTTGTTTAAAGAGTGTAATCCTATAGCTGGAGTTGCAAGCTTCTTGAAGTAATCTTGTATATTTTGAGAACAATTTTAGCCATAGTGCTTGGCATAGTATCTGCCCAATAGTATGGGTTTGATAAATGTTAGTTTACTGAATGAAGAAATTCTTGAGTCACACTAACCATCACGGATTAAGATTTCTGTAGCTGCTCCAAGATCCTCTTCCATATTATGATTTTCACATAACAAAATATTGTTAAACCAACCCAGTGAGCTATATTCTCACAGTTTATTTATAAGCATCAAGAGTAATGTAGCATGAATTAACAGAGATCTTTAAAAGTAAGGTTTCTCTGGCCTGGCATTAAGAGCTATTTCCAATCAGAGCAGTTCAATTCCACACTATTTTGTGAAAATTTGCTGCGTTCCAGATACGGTGCTGGCTTCTGAGAATACCAGTTTGTTTAAGACCTGGTCTATGACTCCATAGAGTTCAGAGTCTGGTGAACAATACTATACACAAAGACAGACAACTAAGATGAAGGGCAACGAGCACAAAGAATACAAATGTGACCAGAGTACTAAGAGAGAACAAATAAAGGTCCCTGCCAACTCAGCGGTGTCAGGGAAAGGCTTCCCGGAGGAAGCTGTTGTCAGTCTTCATGGATGGAATGAATGAGTCAATAGTGTAGGGGAAGGACCTTCCACGCAGAGCAATGCCACAGAGGCTTTGTATGGGAAATTAGAATTGTTCAACACAACCAGTGATTAAAGCGCAAGGCATGAAGGGTGTTTGGTGAAGTGATTAGAAACATGATAACTATTTTTTAATCTAGCCAGAAATGCAAATAGAGAGAAGTTTTTAATTTTCCCTAGCAACAAAAAACTGTAAAATTTAGGGGAATTATTTGAACAAGGTAAGTATGACTCAAAGGAAGAAAATAATAGAATTCTATTAAAAGACATCAAGTGAGATCTGACTAAATGGATGAGAAAATTTAATATCACAAAAATATTAATTTTTCCCAAATTAATAATCTCATTCAGTGAAAATCCAATTAAAAGGGGAAGAAAAAATGGACGGACAAATTGAAAACAGCCTAAATGCCCATCAATGGGATTCTGAATAAATACATTGTGATATATCTTTATCATAGAAAAGGAAACTACAAAATGAGTAGTATCTATACCGTTTGACTTAGGTGGTTTTGTGTAATGTAATATAATTTTAAATAAAGACAGTAGAGCGCATACAAAGATATTTTATTCTTATAAGAAAACCCTATATATGTGTATATTTGTCCTGAATAATATTCTATGAGCTAGACCAAGCTATTAACTTTGGAAATCCGGTGTGAGGAAGAGTGGGTGAAAAATAGTGAGTTGGTAAAAAAATTATAAGACTAAACATACAGCAAACACAAAACAGAAAGGTGACCACAAAAAAGTAGCATATATAGCCCATGCATGTAAAATTATGTGTGCATGTATATGTGCATACTGTGTGAATGTACATTTATGTAAACATGCATATTTGCATATTTGTATGTGTGTGTATATGTATATGTGTATAAAGAGAGAGAGAATGAATATGAAAGGGTCACCAAAATATCTAAGACATTTCAGGTGACCCTGACTTTCTTCCTTAGGTTTTTCTGTATATTTTAAAGTTTGGTAAGAAAAGCATTCTTGAATGGTGCAAATGGTTAAATCACTTGGCTGCTAACCAAAAGATTGGAGTTTCAAGTCCACCCACAGTCACCTTAGAAAAAAAGCCTGGCAATCTACTTCTGAAAAATCTACCACTGAAAACCCAAGGAACACAGTTCTCCTCTGACACACATAGGGTCAGCAACTGGTAACTGGTAATCAGAAGAAGTGAAAACTTATTTTAATTTTAAAAGAAAATCTAAAATAATTCTAAGTCAGTGAGTAGTGGTAGATCTGGGAGTAGAATCAATGGGGCCAGGTCACAAAGACCTTTCATGCACTAGTCAGGACCATGGACTTTATCTGTAACTGCTGTATCTCCTCAACACAGACCTGTGCAGACACAGGAGCAGAAATGCACCGCAGTGTGCGATGTTCACTGGAAAAATACAAAACATTTTCCTGAAGTGTCAATTTGACACAATAATTTGGAAAATATTTTTATTTTGTTTTCAAACAGTAGCAGGCAGATAGGGGAAGAAGAACAAAATGTGATGTACCACTGAACTGAGGGTGAGTTGGTTGTTTATTTTCCTTTGGTATTCCTTGGCCCAGACTCAAGGCAGCTCAAAACTCAGAAATGGGAACTAGGGTATAAAGAGAGATCCAAAAGAAGTCCTCTAGTTCTGGCTCGAGCACCAGGGAGTGGGGTGGTTTCAACACTCAGAAGTAATGGAGAAACCCTTATAATTTTTCTTTTCTCAATTCTCTCCCATCTCATCCCTCAAGCAATCCCATAGCCAAAACTCTAAGGTAAGGGAACTTTCATCTCAAGTCAGGGGAACTATGGTTGGTCTCAAAGGATAGGGTGAATGTCTACTGGCCGTGGAAGAATGCAGCAGAGTGGCGTAAATACAGTCCCAGCTTTCTGGCCAAAAGCCAAAAAAGGGGAGCCCCAAGAAACTGGAAAGTACCAAAGAGTTTGTGAAGAAAGAGAGACTCAGGAAGGCAACCCCATGAAACTGTGTATGAACTCCTGTGCTCATTCCCAAGCTGAGTATGGATGGATTTGACCTTAACACAGCCTATCATTAAAAACAAACAAACAAACACGTTACTATTGAGTCAATTCCAACTCATAATGACCCTATAGGACAGAGTAGAACTGCCCCATAGGGTTTTCAAGGCTGTAATCTTTATGGAAGCAAACTGCCACATCTTTCTCTCATGGAGTGGCTGATAGGTTTGAACCACAGACCTTTCAGTTAGCAGCTGAGTGCTTAACCACTGCGCCACCAGGCTCCTTCAATAGCATATCATAGACATTGATAAATGAATGACAGGATACATTACCATCAAGGACCCTTACTGGCCACTGGGTGACACACATTTGGGAAAGATCTGAATAGCACTGCAAAGACTGAAAATTAAATTGACATGAAAGCATCAACCCACAGAAAGATGATAGAACATGCAGCTTGAATCCAGCTAGGTTGATTGTTTGCTAAAACAAACTTATCAATACTCTCAACAGGATGTAAATAAGATCCAGAGTCTCATAAGGTAATATCCAAAATGACCAATATACAAACTGTCAGGAAGCTGAGCTGGAGAGAGCCGAGCTGAGCTGCCAGGTGCTGGAGTAGCTAATTGAGACAACAAGCTAAAATGAAAGTGAGAGTCAAGTCTTTAATTACTTACTGTGATAGTATAAGCAAGAGAAACCTGGAGAAGGCAGTAGCTCCCCCTGTTCCATTTTTTCCCAAGAACGGTAACCAGGCAAGAGTCAGGTGGATCAGCACAGACACAACCATCTCACTGCCAAGGGAGC